TACTGTTGTCTAGAGAAGCTGCTTAAAACCCTGGCACTCGGCCCACAAGCAGATGCACCATCTATCAAGGTGAAGATTACATGGATCAACTATTACTGGCTTTGATCACTGTCCACACTGTTTATCACACCTGACAGAGAGCAACTCATGGAGATGGCGACTTTTTTTTTTTTTTTTTGGCCAGGTCTCAGGCTGAAGAAATAAGTGCCATGCTTTCTGACATAGCGTTTCCACCTAGATGTTGATAAAGTACAACACTCACAAGTATCGAAGTTACAAACTGAGGCAATTTGCATGTCAGGACACAGTTTCACAAGACATTACAGAAATGCATCTTATCACTGCACCACAACATCTGGCTTTTTCAAGAATACGAATATGTATGTATGTATATATAAAAAGGTACTATATACTTAGTTTTATTACTATATACTTAGGTTTATTAAAATAAGGACCATAGAAGTGAAACAGTTAAAATAATGAGCATAAATGTAGTTTTCTTCCTTGAAATACTTTCTTTAGAAACTGACAAAGGTATAAATCCCCCAGGCTATCAAGTTATATTTCTATAGCCGGCACAAAGAACCACTATAGGCATACAAGGCTGGTTTTATAGCCTTAACGGTCAAACAGTCAGTGATGTGTCATGATAGTTGTTTTCTGTTTTCTTTCTATGTGTGGTACATGTGTATGTGGAGGTCAGAGAGCAACCTCGGATAGTCTGCCATTAGTTGTCACTGTCTTGAGGCCACCTTGAGTACTTACAGTCTTCTGTAGCTGACAAGACTTCAGACAAGCCTCCATGCCTGATTACTGGCTTTGTGACTTTTGCCTCATGTCACTCCCAAACATTACTGATATAATTGTGAGCTTTGGAATTGTGATGATGATACCTTCAGGAGTCTTGTTCAGTATAACTGAGAAAATTAAGCTGGGCAGTGGTGGCACATGCCTTTAATCCTAGCACTTCGGAGACAGAGGCGGAGGCAAAGGAAGATGGAAAGAGAGAATTGACTCCAGTAAGCTGTCCTATGACATGTGTCCCATTGTCTGTGTGTGCTCCATATATACACATGCATGTGCATATATATACATACACACACAGATAAACATCTCAAAACAATTTCCTAAGTTTATTGATAGCAATTTTGCATTTCCTATTTATTCTACAATTTCTATTTCTCTTTAAAAATCTTAAGCTGGGTGGTGATGGTGCATGCCTTTAGTCCCAGCACTTGGGAGACAGAGGCAGGCAGATCTCTGTGAGTTCAAGGCCAGCCTGGTCTATAAAGCTACACAGAGAAACCCTGTTTTGAAACCCCGGCCCCCCAAATTTTTTGCAAATGATTTTATTATGTATATGAATGCTTTATCTGCATGTATGTATGTGTGTGCCTAGTGCCTGTGAATGTCAGAAGAGGGCAGAGGATTTCTTGGAACTGAAGTTACAGATGGTTGTGAGTTGCAATTAGGTCCTTGGAGGTGAACCTAGGTCCTCTACAAGAGCAAAATATGCTCTCAACTGCTGAGCTATCTATCTAGTCCACTTATCTCTCTTTTGAAATGTTTCTGTAATAATTCTTGCAGACCTACAAAACTTCAGATGTCTTCACTTTAGAAAGTTTTGTGTTGAGCATTCCCTCTGCTATTCCTTTCTTTCTAAGATCTGTTTGCCTTTCTCTTGGGCTTTCAGGGTTCATTGGGACTCTGCTTATTGCTCTTGGCAATCCAACTACTTCCATATCTAGAATTGAGACTGAGGAGAACTATTTCTCTAAGCCTTCTGAGCTGTGATAAATGCACAGTGCTGATAAATCTTCTCCTAGTTACTAAGGGTAGAACTGTAATGGCTGAAAAAAAATCTGTAAGGAGTCTTTATCTAGACTGCTTTGCCAAATGCTTTTATGTATTTGTGGCACTTTATTGTAAAACATTTTTTCTCGACAGGGTCTTGCCAAATAGCCTGTGCTGGTGTGAATTTCGTGATGCTTCTGCCTTAGCCTCTTGAGTGCTGCTTGCTGTACTTGAAAGAAAGTGACACTGGGAACCACAGAGGCTACATACATTACATCTGTATTTAGGCAAGAAAAGTAACTGGCTAATTTAGATTAGCCAGTCCAACGAAAGAGACTCTGTTCTCTCGATCAGACATTTAACCCAAACATGTGCTGTTTATTGTGGTATGTGGTATATGCATGTATGTTTGCAGGTATGTATGTGTGCTTGTGCAGAGGCCAGAGCACCAAGATGGATGGCCTTTTCTATCACTCTCTGCCCTATTCCCCTGAGCCAGAGCCTCTCACTGAATCTGAAACTCACAGGTTTCTGTTAGCCTGGCTGGCCAGCAAGTCTCTAACACTGGTGTTACAGCTGTGCATGGCCACGCGTGAGTGCTGGTGATCTGAATCCAAGTTCTCACGCATGTGCAGCAAGCACTCTCAGCCATTGAACCACCTCCCTAGCCCAGTGACTTCATTTCTAAAAAGTGACCCCTCACCGCGCAACAGAATTACCACTTCTGGTCATGTCAGAAAATGGTCCCTGTACTTTAACCCTGAGGATTCACCTGCCACACTGCAGCCTACTCAGATTTCCTCATATGCTTAGATGAACACGTCTATTCTGGATCATTCCTAAAGATGTTAGGCAATGGCCAGTCTATTTTTGAGGGCTTCCACTGGTTTACTGTTCATTCTCTATTTAGGCTTTTTTTCTGCTCTTCCTCTGTTCCAAGGCTTTGCAATAGTCTTGTACAAACCAAACCATTTTCAAAACAATGGTATGGAGCTGTGTCAAAAGATGTTACTAGGTGTAATTTATATAGAACAAATACACTTTACATAGCCACTCAACCACCAGTGATGAAGACTTGGTATTTTCAGAGTTTCTTCTCCCCCTTTCTGCTTGTAGGCAATCGATCCTTACTCTTCCTGGCTGCAGACAATCAAGGGTCTGCTTTGTGTATAGATGTGAAGAACTGTATATACACAGAACCATACAGTTTGTACTTTTTCTTTCATTTGAACTCATTCACACTGTTGATTACATAATACTTTGTTCCTTTTTGCTGCTGAGTAGAATTCTATTGCATAAGTAACATTTAATTATCTAGTCACTTTTGACAAACATTTTGGCTGCCCCAGGTTGGGGTTATTATGACTGAGGCTGCTATGCATATCCACATTCAGGTCCTGTGAGAACAGATATTTTTTACCTTTATTTGTTTATCTAGACAGGGCTTTGCAATGTGGCTTTGGCTGCCCTGGAACTTGGTGTCACCTTACGGAGAGTCACTTGCCAGCTATTTTGTGTTTTTGAGACAGGGTCTCTGTAGCCCAGGTGGGCTTACAAATCATGCTATAGCCTTGGTTGGCCTAGAACTCATGGCAATCCTTCTAAATTTCCCAAATATTGGGATTACAGGCTTGAGTCACCATACCCACTGATATATTCTCTTTTCTTTGACTATAAATCTAGGAATAAAATTCTCAAACTCATATGCTAAGCATGCACTTAACTTTGAAAGCAGATGGCAATTTTGCACATCAACACAAGCATCATATTATTTCTATGAGTGTTATATATATGTATTCACACACATATATATGTATTAAAGAGAGTGCTTTTTGTTTCACACCTCCACAGCTGGGCATAGTGGCCCATACCTTTAATACCAGTACTAGGGAGGCAAAGACCAGCTTGGTCTACAGAGTGAGTCCAGGACAGCCAGAGCCACATAGAGACACCCTATCTTGGAAAAACAAACAAACAAACAAACAAACAAACAAACAAACCCACCAAATCCCCAAACCTAAGCAACCAACAACAACAACAAAAATGCCACAAATCAAAAGCCACAAATCAGTCATTTACATACACACATCATTTGTCATTCACATATCCTCACTGGTTTACCAATGATACTTACAATCTACTAAGTTTGTACTATGTATCCCACACTTTTTCCCCTCTGCATTTAACTACAGAGCACACCCAACAGTTTTCACTGAGGTATTTCTTTCATATCAGCACCAGCTTTTAGGAAATAAAGTGGAATTCACTGTTTGGAGGTTTAGAACTATGTCCTCAGAAAAAATATTATTGAACACTTAGCTGAGCTTTTCAAATATTAGCTATATATACTCAGTTCCAAATAGTTTGCACTAACTCATATATTTTGGCATACTATCCTTCATGAAGGCTTAGTTTCCGTCACTTGTTTTTGATATGAGAAACCTGAAAACACACCTTTAACACGTATTCTTTTTTTTTTTAGATTGTCGTTTTTTAATTTATTCATTTATTTATTCACTTTTCCCAGTCATGTTTGTATCTATCCTAGGTCTCTGGTCTATAAAGCATCTGAGTCAATGAAATGACTCCTCGAGATATAAAATAATATTAATAAGAATAACAATCATAAAAATAAAAAATTAAAATTAAAAAAAAAGAAATAAAAACTACCCAGTTTCTTTCTTATTGTCTTAAAGGTAGCTGATAATTTAGAACTATGCGTTTGAAGCACATGGGGTCTATGAAGCCCTTTTGACTGCATAATTGTACAATGAAGTCCTGAAAATGCAGATGTTCAAAGCCCATTTCTCCTTTTAGAATCTTACGCTTTAGTCCTTTGTCAATTTCCCCAAGGCTGTATTTCAGAAACTTTTTAAAATTTATTTTTATTTTATGTATATGAGTGTTTTGCCTGCTTGTATATTTGTGCACCACGTGTGTGTCTGGTGTCTGCAGAGGTCAGAAGAGGGCACCATATCTGGAACTGGAGTTATAGTCATGAACTGCCATGTGGGTACTGGGAATGGGCCCAGGTCCTCTGCAAGGGCTGCAAGTGCTCTGAACTGCGGCCATTAGAAGCTAGTTTAAGCATGCAAATGGTTTGATATTCCATGTGCAAACAGTGAACACTGTTTTAATTTTAGGGAATGCACAATTACTGACCAGCACCGGGTGTAATAATAACCTCAATACAAGCACATGCTCACCTTGACAAACTCCTTTTTTTCAATCATCTCATTGCCATCTGCATCCAGCATTTTAAAAGCGACATGGAACCCAGTGTGAGGTTCTGCAAGGAAGGGAAGAGTGAACAGTTAATTATTTAGTCGTTGGCAAAATGCTAAGTATTTGTAGCTAGAAAAGACTTCAAATTTGAAATAAATGACTAAAAAGTATGTAAGCAAGAGTTAGACAAAGAAGGATGCTCCCCCACCCCCCAAAGCTAACCACAAATTTTCTCTTTCTCAGAGAACTCTAACCATGATTTTTCTCTCTTTTTTTAGACAACACTAACTGATTTTTTTGGGTCAGTAAATGTTCTGTCTTAGGGTGCCACAGTGTGTGTGGGGTAGAAGAACACTCTAATTCAACATTATCATTTTGTAGATGTAGATTGAGGGTCATGTGTGTCTATGTGTGTGAATGGTGTGTGCATGTGAGTCAGAAGTTGACACGGACAGCTCTCCACCTTACTGCTCTCATTGAATCTGGAGCTTTTCCAGCTATTTTATTAGATGGGCTAGCCAGAGAGCTCAACTCCCCCGGTATGGGGACTACAGGTACACACCGAGACACCTCGCCAGTCCTGTTACCAATGTTTTTAGTGATAAAGACACAAACACCTAATTCCAAGCCCTGATTGTTAAGGATGAGAACTCCACATGACTGTTGTAAAGAAAAGAAGTATACTTACTCGTGAGGATTGTAAGTAAGAAAAGGTACTCGGTATATGAAATTACCCCTGAAGGAGAAAAAGAAGAACAAATCAGGAACAAGTTTTTAATGAGAACCATGGAAATGACTAATATTGAAACTTGACCTCTATAAAAAAATTGATGCTTTTACTCTACCTCTTTGGTATAGGGGAAACCACCGTATAACAGGAGTTGAAACACAGCTTCAGTGTTTAAAAAGAAAGACACCATGCTTCATCAGTTTTACCTCCAGCAAGGAGGTCATGACAGCGAATCTTATGTGCCAGTTTGAGCGGACACTTTTCTGGGTCTATCTATGAAGGTAGCCTCAGTAGAGGGGACTGACCTCTCAACGTGTGGGCGTCATCTAGTCTGTCCAGCAAGTGGCTGGGGAGACAAGAATTCAGGCCTCCTTCCCCCTTTCCTTACCTGGTAGGACATCTCACTTCATCCTCCACCCTGAGACCGGGACTCCCACTTCTGACTCTCCCGGTTTTCAGGACTTGGGGCTGAGACTGAACCCCACCTCTGGCTCTTAGGTATCCAGTTTACAGAGGTCCCACAAACCTGCCAGTCACCTTGTGGGTTCTGCTTCGCTGGACAACACTGACAGATGCTGCTCAGCATGTAACAGAAATCCACTCGCACCTCAGCTGTAGGTTAAGTCATTTAGACTTAGTTTTTCCTGTCTGTAATACCTTGCTTGATTGAGGGAAATTTAAAACTATAGTGGCATAGCTTTGGATATATAGAAAGTCAAATTGTATTAGTTAAAATGTAACAATTCAATCTTCACTGCAGTAACTTCCTTTCTCTTTGAGAAACAATTCTTTTTCATTTTCAAACACACGGTTTGGGGGGTGGTGGTGCTTGCTTTTCTTTCCATTTCCATGAGATGAAGGAGGGATGGTATCTTAGGTTTCCATTGCTGTGATAAAACACCATGACCAAAAGCAACTCGGGGAGGAAAGGGTTTATTTTTGTTTACAGTTCTACACTGTAGTTCCAAATGTAAGGAAGACAGGGCAGGAAGTAGAGACAGGAACCTGGAGGCAGGGACTGAAGTAGAAGCAATGGACAAGTGCTGCTTTCTGGCTTGTTCCCTATGGCTTGCTCAGCCTGCTTCCTTAAACCACCCAGGGGTGGCACCACCCACCGTGAGCTGGGTCCTCCCATATCAATCATCAAAAAAGAAAATGCCCTACAGACTTGCCTATAGAGGCACTTTCTCAATTAAGATTGCCTCTTCCTGAATTACCCTGGCTTGTGTCAAGTTGACAAACAGTAGCCAGCCAAGATGGGCAAGTGGCTTTGGGTCCAAGTTGGTGAACAGACCACAGGAGTGAGTGGCTCTAGGGACTGGTTCAGGGACAATTCATGACTGAAGTTCGGCTGCTACAAGTGGTACAGGATGATTTCTACTGAGAATGCTGGATCACTGACTTGCTTTGTGGAGAGGATGCTGTGTGGACTCGATGAGGTGACAGTTAGATTTAGGACTATGAGGCCATGGGCAAAGAGACTGGAATTGACACAAGACAGTATTCAGAGCTCCAGAGCCCATATTTAACTGGGAGGCTTGAAAAATGGCTACTGGGTATGTCTGAGTTCCAAATCAAGGTAGCTTTGGGGCTAACTCTTATTTGGTTACTAAATAAACTTCCTTGTTGCAGTGGTGATGGGTTTCATATTGCTGCAATGGGAAGATCAATAGTAAATGCTGGTTTGAGTTAACAAGAATGGCTGCTGGAGGAGTTAAAACTGTGTGTCTGGATCAGAAGCTTGGTATACTAGCAAAATGTACAAGTTACAACTGAACACACTTTATCATGAACAGCCAATGACACATAGAAACACACAGAATAATGACACTAAGTTACATATTATTATATTAGATAATGATATAATAAATCCCAGACCTAATAATTATCAACTTGTGAGTCTTATTTTGTCTTTTAATCCCCTTTCCTCACTAGGTTATTTTAAAACGAATCCCACACATGCCACTTCAAAGCCTCATAGGTAAATACTCAAATGATGGGTTCTGACTTCCTAGCCTGCCACCAGCTTTCTAGTTACTTGATTTTAGATCAGTTGTGCTCTCAGAATGAGGACATGTAGTCAGTGCTCAGGTACTTCCTTCTGAAGACTACTCTGTGTTTACATGAAGGGAGAAGAAATTCTATGTGTTTGTCATGCCTTGCTCCTGGCACAAGCTCTCTACTGTTAGTCTGAGGATCAAAGCATTTCATCCACTGGCAGCCTGGAAAAATGTGGAAAATAGCGTTTTCCTGTATTTCAAAGGAGTAGAGCAAAGGGGGAAAAAGCCCAACTTCTAGACTGTCCTGGGCTTGGCGCCAAAGGAGCCCTCTCTCCTCTCTAAACACAGGTAAATGTCCTTTAAGCATAGACAGTTTGTGAAAGGAAAATGCCAGTGTCTTTCTCTGAAACGCTGACTTAAATAAAAGATTTAAATAAACATATTGAGAGACTGTAAAAAACCAGCAGCTTTTGCTCAGATGCATTAAGACAGAGCCCCACAATGCAATGCTCCCACATCAGAAAGTGCTTCTAGAGAGCCACATCTGAGGGCACCCACAGGAGAACAGCTTAGCATCTATTGTTACTCTGAATGCTGCTAAGTGGCAGTTTCAAAGCTGCATGATAATAAACAGGGACGTTTAAAAGTTTTCCTTTATATGTACTGGTGTTCTGCCTGCATGTGTCTGTGCACCATACGCATGCCTTACGGACAGTTGTGAGCCGTCCCGGTCCTCTGGAAGAGTAGCTCTGAAACACTAAGTCATTCCTCCAGTCCAAAACAGGGAAATGTTTTTAAAACTTACCTTTGGAGCTTTAAGAATCTGTAGGGGCCACTAGGAGTGACAAGTGAATAGTTCCTACACTTCCAGAAATATTTTAAAGCTGGAACCACACTCAAACATGGTGTGTTCAGTAACAGCATTCTGAGAACTGTATTCCCCAAGGAAGCTGGGTTATCTCTTACATGGGGATATATTTATAATCTCACAACAATGTGTCTTGTAATTTTTGGTCAAAACACCCTTGAGGCAAGTGTGATATCAAGAATCTAGTTCAGTTTAAACATTCAAAATAATCATAACTTATAACTTATTTTTCTTTCTAATGCACAGTGAATTATTTCCATTTCATCTCAAGAACATTCTCCCTTTTTTGGTTACGTTATAAATTCTGGTAGATCTTATATGGGGGAATGGAGTATCTTAAATTGTTCTCCATTCAGTCTTATTAACCCTGGCTGGGAAGTACAGGTGAATCTTTCCTTCTTCTTAGAAATGGAGATTTCAACAGAAAACTAAGACATGCAAGTAAAACCCCTGTTAATAACCCCTCAACCATTTCCCATCTGTGATGACTATACTTCCTTACTAGTTAAGGTGTCTGACTCCAGAACCCCGCTCATATAACAGAAAACAGAGAGAGCATGGATATCAGAGTTTATCTCTGTTTCTTCCTGGCCACAAATACAGGAAAACCAAGTCTGCTGATTTAAGAGCACATACATTCCTACACATTCCCAATATGAAAATTGTAGGGGATTATTACTTCTATTGCATATAGGATTATTCTTGTGCTGTGACTGGGAGGAATCCAACTGGGAGGCAGTGGTTCTCAACCTTCCCAATGCTGCACCTTTAATACAGTTTCTCATGCTGTGGTGACCCTCCCAACCATAAAATTATTGTCTTGCTCCTTCATAGCTGTAATTTTTCTACCGTTTGAATCATAACTTAAATATCAGATATGTTGTCTTTTTGCAACCTGCAGGTTGAGAACTGCTGTAATAGGGGTTACTACCATTTAACAATCATTAGATAATTCAGTATAAGCAATACAATGAAATTCTGTGCTATGATGGGGGATGTTCTTCTGTATGCTGTGAATATATGCTTCTCTTATTGATGAATGAAGCTGTTTTGGCTAATGGACAGGCAGGATATAACCAGGCAGGAAGTATAGGCATGGCTACCAGAGTAGGAGAATTCTGGAAAAAGAGTGAGTTGCCATTGAGATGCCATGTAGCTGTCGAGGAAGCAAGAGACCCAGGCATCACTGGTAATCCAAGACCATGTGGAGATACACAGATTAATAGAAATGGGTTAATTAGTAAAAGAGAGCTAGCCAATAAGAAGCCTGAGCCATCAGCAAACAGTTTATAATTAATATAAGCCGCTGTATGTTTATTTGGTACTAAATGGCTGCGGGACTGGGCGGGACAAAAACTTCCACCTACAGTGCTGTCTACTATACACTGATATACTGAGGTATGGGCAGAAATTGACACAAGCAGCTACTGATTAATGTTTACTAAAATGTACAGTAGCATGTATACATGTATTTATTTTATGGCTCTATTGATAAAATATAGGGCCTCACATTAGTTAGGAGCTCTACCCCTGAGCCATACCCCTAGAGCTATTTTGAAGATTTCTGAATGTTTACTTTTCAAACCAACCATTCTTTCCCTAGCATGTACGCTTTCCGACTTTACCGGAAGCTTTCTATTGACTTTTTAACTTTCTTCTTTTCATCTTCCTTCCTTTCTGACTTCTTTTTCTACTATTCTGTTTAGGATCCATGGGTAATTAGTCAAACTTTCTCTAGTAGTCCATATTCTTAACAGCGTCCTCCAGGACTGTCCTCTACTTGTCCAACATAACCTTGACTTAATTCAACTGCAGCATCTGACTGCTCCATGTGAGACGTAGGATAATCACCAGCGGCTCTATTCTTCATCAACTACATCTCTGCTTAAAGCTTTTCACCATTAGCTGGGTGGTGCTAGTGCACGCCTATAATCCCAGCACTCAGGAGGCAGAGGCAGGTGGATCTCTGTGAATTCGAGGCCAGCCTGGTCTACAAAGTTATACAGAGAAACCCTGTCTTAAAAAACCAAACCAACCAACCAAACAAACAAAACTTCTCAAAGTTATTTTGTTTCTCCATCAATTCAGTCCTCTTTCCTTATCATAGAAGCTTCTCCCTGCCCCCTTTCTCTACTGTTGTGTTTTGTCCAGGCTGCTCCCCAGGACTTGCTACCAACACAGTATATCAGATGGGCATCACCTACTTACTCTTCCCTCTGCTGTAAGGGAAAAGCTAGCAGCCAGGGGCACAACAGTCTTTCCCTTTGCCTTTCAAAGAATCCTTGTCCTTCTTTCCAGGATTTCATCATGCTTAAACTTCTCCTCTCTTCTCTCATCCATAAGAAATATGCTCACATCTCTCCATCATAACTAACTAATATGCCCTCAACTATCTGTCTTTTCCCAGCTTCCTCCTTCTAACTCCTCTGCTCACCCCCAAGTCTCTAAACTTGGTTTCATTTAATTTTCTCACAAATCTGCAATGTGGCTTCATATCTCGCCCCCTCAGTGACCTATACTGCTCTAAGTATCAAGTACTCAGGACAAAAATGGTGGATTAGCATCTGGTTTATGTGAACGACAGAGGAGAAGAGCCAGGATCAAACAGAACAGACTGGATTCTAGAGGGAGAAGGGGAACAGCACCAGAGACCACGAAGGAGTGACAGGATAGCTTGGAGACACCACGGGTGACTCAGCCACACACAGTTCCAGTGGTACAGCTCCAGTGTGTGGAGAGAGGGGCAGACGCCTATCTAGAAGGAATTCAGGTGGCCATGGCGAAGGGACTGGCAATACTGCTCACAGCACAAGCCCACAGTTCTCAAAACCCTCCACCCAGTGTAGGTTTTGGTGAGAAAGCATGGTCCACAGCGGTGAGCAGTTCCACACTGTCATTCCTCACAACTTAGGGGGCTGTGGCTGGGTGCCACCCTGACCAGGAACCTATTGTTTAAGACCTTGGGGCCCGAGCACAGGGGATAATTACAAACCAAGGACTTTGGCTGAAGACTGGGGTGGGGCAGTGAGGGACACAGGAGGAAGTCCTGCTCTTGGTGGCTAGGAGCAAATCTCATCAACTGAGAGTAACTCTGGAGCCTGACAGCCCTAGCTTCAGGTCAGTGGTAGGTCAACCTCAGGAGCCATCTATTTGCTACACAGATCCTGTTGTAAAGACTAGGAACTCTGAAGCTATAGGGAACTTCCTGTCCCCAGCTGCTGTTTAATACTTAGTGGGTTTGAAAGTGAAGTGGACAGGTCTGTCTGTAAAGATCTCAGTGCTGTGTTTTCTCCCCTTACTCTAGAAACACTTGGGAAATGCCTACCACAATGAGACAGGGGAATGGGAAAACCTGCCTGGCCCACTGTCGGCAGTGCTAACTGTTGCCAGCAGAGGGCCCCTATACTCAAAGAACAGAAGCTACCCAAGAGAAGACTGCCCTGGCTGACTTCTAAGCCCTGTCCAGTCCAGGCTCACACTAGTGTGAATTAGAGCAAGAAACAAGGCTGTAAGTTCAATGGACAGTGCTCCCGATGCACCCACTGCAGACCCCAGTCCTACAGGACTTAGAAAGAGCTGCTTTGACACTTCATCTTTTGTTATTGTCATTTCCCTGTTTTCTCTTTAGCATACTCTTTTTCTTATATAAAAAGTATTTTGTCTTTTTTTCTAGTATTTTTATAATTTTATGCGAATGAGTGTTTTGTCTACATATATGAATGCATGTGTACTGCCTGCGTTCCTGGGGTCCTCAGAAGTCAGCAAAGGGTACTGGATCCCCTGGAACTGGGGCTATGGATGGGTGCTGGGAACTGAACTCTGGCTGCCTGCAAGGTCAAATTAACTGAAAGTTCTTTACTGAATTTCAAGTATCATAGATCAAATGGAGGAATAATACAGTTACATTCTAACATTCTCCTGAGCACTTCCCTAAAACAGATCACACCAGAGGCTATAAAGCAAGTCTTTTTGTTTGTTTGCTTTGTTTTTTTTTTTTTTTTTTTTTTTTTGAGACAGGGTTTCTCTGTCCTGGAACTAGCTCTGTAGACCAGGCTGGCCTTGAACTCACACAGACCCGCCTGCCTCTGCCTCCTGAGTGCTGGGATTAAAGGAGCTTGCCACCCATGCCCAGCAAGAAAGTCTTAACAAATATGTAAGAAGTGAAATAATTCCTTGTATCTCTTCAGATTATCATGCAGTAAGGGTAGAAATCAAAAACAAAAGAACCTATTGAAACTATACAAGCATTTCTATACCATACAATGTACTCTTAGGTAACAAATCACTGGATCACTGAAGAAACCAGAGAGGAAAGTGACAACTTCCTCAAACCAAATTAAAAACAACAACAACAACAACAAAAACAAAACAAAACAAAAACCCCACAACTCTTTGGGTATAGGTGAGACATCTGCAGAGTTTCTAACTATGACTGCTATGTTAGGAAATCCCAGTGGGGCTGGGAATGGCTCAGTCAGTAAAGCACCTCCTTTGCAAGCATGAGGACCTGGGTTCGATCACCAGCAACACGAAGATGGGGGATGTCCTTCTCTATGCTGTGAACATATGTTTTTCTTATTGGTTGATGAATAAAGCTGTTTTGGCCAATGAACATGCAGGATTTAGCCAGGCGAGAAATCCAAACAGGGACAGAGAAGGGTAGGAGGCAGAATCGGAGAGATGCCATGTAGTTTCTGGGAAGATAGGATGCCCGGGAATTCTCCGGGAAGCCAAGACCATGTGGAGATACACAGATTAATAGAGATGGGCTAATAATTAAGAGAGAGCTAGCCAATAAGAAGCCTGAGCCATGAGCCAAACAGTTTACAATTAATGTAAGCCTCTGTCTGTTCATTTGGGACTGAGCGGCTGTGGGACCAGGCAGGACAGAAGCTTCCATCCACACACATGAAAAGTAGAGGAGCATGCTGTAATTGCAGCACTGAGGAGATGGTGACAAGAGGGCCTCCTGGGCTGGCTGGGTAGTCTGGACTAATTGGTGAACTCCAGCCAGTGACAAGTCCCGTCTCAAAGACATAGACAGAGTGCTTGAGGATGACATCATAGGTTATCTTCAGGTCTCTGTGCAGCTTCACACATGAGCACATGCACCCACACTGAAAAACTGCTCTCATATCTGAGGAACTTAAAGTTGCATCTACTGTGTTAGAAAATCAAGAACAAGACAAACCCCAAAACAGATGACAGGAAGAAATATGAGGGCAGAAATTAATGAGCTGGACACTAAAAACAACAACAACAAAAATACAAAGACTTAATGAAACAAAGTAAGTTTCTAGAAAATAATTAAGATAGAAAAACTGATGGTCAAATTAAAAGAGAGGGAGGATGCATTAATCAAATCAGACATGAAGTCAGTGACATTATAACAGATACCAATGAAATCCAAAGGATCATTTGAAGGACTACCTTGAAAATCTGTATTCCAAAAACACTAGAAGTATGAATTCACAGACACAGGTACCTACCAAAGTTAAACCAAGAAGATATAATTAATGTAGAAGGGTTAATAACAAGCAATGAGACTGGAGCAGTTAGGGTCTCATAACAGCACCACCAAGACCAGATTCCTTCATTCTACCAAACCTACCCTGGAAGAGGCAACACTAACACTCTTCAGACTACTCCACGAGGTAGAAAGGTAAAGAACTGCAAAACTCATTGTGACAAGCTGGTATTAACCCCAATACCCAAACTATATAAGCACACAGTAGCAACAGAACACCGCAGAGCGAGTTTCCTGATACACACACAAAACTTCTCAATAATTTTCAAATTAAATTTGAGAATGTGCTGGGTGGTGATAGCCCATGCCTTTAATCCCAACACTTAGGAAGCAGAGACAGGTGGATCTCTGTGAGTTCAAGGCCAGTCTGGTCTACAGAGCAAGTTCTAGGACAGCTAGGATTCTTACACAGAGAAACCCTATATCAAAAAACAAAAACAAACCAAAAAAAAAAAAAAAAAAAAAACCCTTTAAGAATGCATTAAGGAGCACAAACATTACATTATGACCATGTTGGTTGTATTCCAGGGATGCAAGGATTGCTCAATATATATGTAAATCAAGAGATGTGATACAGACTCAAGGACTGAAATCACAACATCATTTCATTCAGTGCAGGAAAATCTTTGAACAAACTTAGGCATCAGGATACAGCCCTCCAAAGGCTAGGACTCCAGGTGCACACACTCAGGCATCAGGATACAGCCTTCCATGGGCTGGGACTCCAGGTGCACACACTTAGGGATCAGGATACAGCCCTCCACAGGCTAGGACTCCAGGTGCACACACTTAGGGATCAGGATACAGCCTTCCATGGGCTAGGACTCCAGGTGCACACACTTAGGGATCAGGATACAGCCCTCCATAGGCTAGGACTCCAGGTGTACATCCGCATGCCTGGCCTAAGTGTCCTCTACCACACTCTCCGCCTCAAGAAGCATTCTCAGTGTTTGCCTCTGGTCATTCTGCCTGGCCTTTTGATGGCCGTCTTATCTACTTTTCTGTACAGTCCTCTTCGGGGTTCTTTGAGGCCTCTGCATCTCTTTATTTCCAAGCAGGCCTCATCTCCTTACTCACCACTTTCCATCATTCCTTCTCTAGGACTTACTGATGTTCTAACCATTTATCTTTGTTTTGTTTTTTTGAGACAGGGATCCTCTGTGTAAAACAGCTCTGGCACTCTGGTTGTCCTGGAGCTTGCTCTGTAGACTATGTTAGCCTCGAACTCACAGAGATCCACCCACCTCTGCTTCCCAAGTGCTGGGATTACAGGCATGCACCACCACCTCCGGCCTAATCATTTATCTTTAACTGCTTAAAAACTTGAGAAAAATTATCTCTTAGCCATTTATTGTGCCACAAAACACCAGTTAAATCACAAGGCATAAATATCCCAGTATAATTACATATATAATATAAATGTAATATATAATAGAAATTTAACAATGATTGAAAATTACCTTTATCACCCAGGTCTCTAAAAAAAGTTGATCCACAGTGTGCCTTTTGGATCCCTGACAGCACATCCTCGATATCCTTTGAATACACAAATTAAATTTTTCAACTTAAGGTATACAAGCTCATTTTCCATGTCACCCCAAAGAAACTGATAAAAACCCCAACACTGCTTACCTTTCTCGCCAGCTTCTTGACTAATGTTTTACCTACAACAAAGAAGAACCACGTCAGCACTCACCTTTCTTCCCCAAACTCAGAGTGCATTAAAGGAAGAAAGTCATTTCTAAAATGAACTACCCAACCTAGGTGAGAAATAAAGCTGGCGGTTTTAGTCAGTACCTCTAAAGTAAAATCGGGAGCCAAGGAATTCTGATCTGAACACAAAAGGTCAATTTTCAGTCTCATACACGTGAAATTCTACAGTCTTTATTTCTTGTGAGCACTGTGCATTGGTTTGTGACATGTGTGTTCTTTCTTATCTTTTTTTTAAATATTTATTTATTTTATGCCGTAGGAGGGAATCATCTCCCACTATAGATGGTTGTGAGCCACCCTGTGGGTGCTGGGAATTGAACTCAGGACCTCTGGAAGAGCAGTTAGTGCTCTAAAGCGCTGAGCCATCTCTCCAGCCCCATCTTTGCTTGTCTTTTAAGATCAGTCTTTTGGTTTCACTGATTCAAGGAAGTCACATCAATAGGGTAGTTTTAGAAAGCTACCGTGTTCGGGATCCTAGAAAGCTCTCTCAAGTGTACCATTTTCCAGCCCAGTTGGAGATGCAACTGAGACTGTGCCAGCTGCTCTTTATGTCGCATTAGACTAGGGACGTGAAGTTCTTTCAGGTTTTCACATGTTCTTAAGAACTTTACCATTATTATTATTTTGTGTGTGTTGGCGTGTGTATGCCACAGCATGTATAGGGCGTATCAGAGGACAACTTTCAAGAGCCCCTTTTCTCCACCCTGCTTAGCAGGCAGGCAGGTCTCTTATGCTTTTGCTATGGTGGGTTCTCCAGGCTAGCTAACTGTAAGATTCTGGGAGGCTCTCCAGTCTCTGCCTCTCATTTCACTGTAGAAGTGCTGGGATGGCAGATGTATGCACTGCATTTGACTCCTTAGGTGGGTTCCCCAAATTCAGAAAAGATAATAAATGTCAATGAGAGGAGAAAAAAAACTAGAAATAATAAGTAGTATCTACCAGAAAATTAGTGATGAATATTACTGTGTGGTTGTGGAAACATCTGTGGTCATAACCTGTGAGGTTATTACTCTTTAAAATTTTTTTTTTTTTTTTTGCTGAGCATTATGTGCCTATGTGTGAAAGTTCTTAATTGTCAGGTGTCATCACAGCATGGTAAGTTTCTTACCTAGTTACCAGCTATATATTACTATATAATCTACTATATATTACTATATAATCTACAACTCTAAGTATGTGTAAAGTGTGTATAAGATGTAGTAATAGAACTCTGATTACTTGATCTAGAAAATGGTGATTAATATGTATTTTAACTTTTTGTTTTTGACTGTACCTGGACTACAGGTACAAAGTCATCCTTCTGCCTTATTTCATGAGTTTGTGTGTGATAAGGATTTTGAAAATAATCCCCATAGTGGGTTTCCTCTGCCCACGCAATAAGCCAAATCTGGCCAAATTAATAAGACCAGACTGGGTCTTAAATACCCAATAGGCATGGCTTTGAGCCTCTCAGGGGGAGGAGCTGCCTCTTGGGTTTTCTGAGGAGCCGGAAGGTGACTATGTCTACAGTACTCAGCAGTCACAGGAGCATGGGGGCAGAACCGGGTACCAGCCTCTGCTTTATAAGCATGACAGAATTAACATGGGAACTGAATGAATGCATCAACTGTCAAGGAGGCAAGGTTGGGCTCCATCTCAAGGGAGTGTGCTTGTGTTTTCAAAAAGCCCCACGTGAAAATGTCATATATCAAGCGGCTGTGAAACTGGCTACTCGTGTACGGTCCTCAAATGCCCTGAGAATACTGATTTTCTGTTCAGAATGAGCAAGGGGGTACATGACTCCTCAGAGTCCTTGGGAGCTTCCGCAGCTGATAGGTTTTTTTCAACAGTGACTTTTATCATTCTCCTATGCTTTGAAAACTTAGGAATTTCCATGTTCAACACTGCGTACCAGTGCGGAACCAGCTTAGGTGTCCACACCAGGTAAAGGGAAAAGGAAGCATGCCCCGGATGCACAATGGCACTTTATTCAGCAGGAAAATGGGAGGAACCGGGGATCATTCTATTAGGTGAATTAGCGCAGGCTCAGAAGGACAAACACATTTTCTTTCATATGCAGAAATAAAGAGACATGATTAATAAAAAGAGACATAAGAGAAAGGAAGAGGATGGTGTGGGGAAGGATGGGAGGCAAACGTGATCAAGCATCCTAACAGGCAGATATGGAAATGCCATCTGTAACTCCCTGCTCTGAACACTAAATATGCTACTCAGAAAGGGGAAGATGTTCTCCATCCATATTTATTACTCTAGGGTAACATTTTGCTCTTGAAATCTAAAACTAGTGCTTCGTGATAAATGTAGTGAAATAAAACAATTTGTTATTGAAAAGTTGATAAGAGAAAATTTCTAGTTAGGTAGGTAGAATCATTAGATTCTTTGTTTTACCAGATAATTTGATAATACTCTTAAGTCTTAGTGTTTGTATTTAATGATTACAAGTTCAGAAAATTATTTTAGAATCAGATAAGCAAAGACTTACATAACTGAAGGAAATTTAAATGTGTTAACATAAGAGAACTAATTAAATTATAGTACACTAATAAAAAGTCAAAAAAATTTCAAACAACACTGACAAAGGGAAACTACTCATTATGCATTGAACAGAAAATGTTAGGTTGTAAAGTACACAGTAGACAATGTGTGGTCTTACATTTGTAAGTAAAAGGGTTTTAAAGAGTAAACCTTATGGCATGTGAATTATATCTCTGTAAAAAAAATTACAAGGCTAGGTGGTGGTGGCACACGCCTGTAATCCCAGTGGGAGGGAGGCAGAGGCAGCAGATCTCTGTGAGTTTGAGGCCAGTCTGGTCTACAAAGGTATACAGAGAAACCGAGAGAGAGGGGGGAGGGGGAAGGGGAAAGAGGGGGGGGGGAGAGAGAGAGAGAGAGAGAGAGAGAGAGAGAGAGAGAGAGAGAGAGAGAGAGATTGAGAAATTGAACAGCTCAGGGAGCTGATGAAGGAATTTGAAGAAAGTGAACCGACATAGGAAACAAATTACTTGGAGGATCTGGGTGAGGCTAAAGTTAGTAGCTCCAATCTGTGACTTCCCAGCAGTTTCATTAAAGGGAGAAAAGCGATAGTAACAAGTAGTTATCATAGTGACAAAGTCACAAATTCTGTGGCTGCAGGGAAAGAGGAGAAGGGGACCTTGGAATGATAGAACAGTGGATGTGAGGCACTTTTATGAGGTCAGTGAATAAACATGCTGGGTAGCAGGTAAAGTGGAAGATAATTAGTTGTTGCCAAAGATACAAATTCTGAAATTTGACTGTAAAACTGGGACAATTCTAGTAGTAGCATGGGATGTGAACGGTGAAGACAAACATCACTGGAAAGAAGCGCAGCAGGAGAGAATTTTCAAAAGGGAGATGGCATTCTGGCTGGATAACCTGTGCTGCTAGGAGAGCACACAGCAGAGATGCAAGCGTGTAGGAACCCAGTAAAGGGAGCAGCAAGTAAGAGTCTGGAAGTGCTATGCAGAGTGCTTACATAAGCCTCATCAACTGTATTAATAAAGAGCATTATTAACAAAAGGCCAAAAAGATAAATACCAGGTAAATGAGTTTAAGATCTAATAAATCTTAGATTGCTTTGTATCATTTTATTTGCCCAGAGACCACGGGTCAGCGGTTTGGCTCAGTTTTTCTTTGTTTTGCTGTTCATCATGATCCGTAGGAATGTAACCAAGATTATCTTATCCACGATGAAAAATGAAGATGAAACATCATATGCATAAAGGATGTATTATTTGGCCTGCAAAGTCTTGATTTGGCTCAGTGCCTTCCGATGGTTTAACTGCATTCCAATGAATAATAAAAGTAGAAATGTCACAGTCTTTAATCATACTTTACTGTAGTTCTTTGAACATATTTTAGGGGCTATTTTGATGTCTTTTTTCTGTAAATCTGTTATCTGATTGCTTCACAAGCAATTTCTGTTGCCTACTTTTGTCCAATGATGCTACGTGTTTCTTTGTAGTTTTGTGCTTTTGCTCTTGGGCCCTGACATTCTGATGACACACTGTGAGGACTGGGTACCAGCTTCTACCCCGTGGCTCACTTATTGCTTGTGAATGTGCAGTGTCTGGCCAGTTTTTAGTAAGGACTGTGTCTCACCCTGCCCTCTAACAGTGCTAAGCACTTGAGGGAGCGTCCCAGTGAGGCATGGGATGGATTTGGAGTTGAGTTCCTTTGGAGTTTGGAGTTCTTGAGTTCCTTCCTGATCTCACTAGGGTGCTGAGTCCAGACAATTTGGTCCTGTTGACTTGATGGGAACCCTAGACACACACTGCTCTAGAGACTACCTTTTGAATTTAGGCTCCCATGAAGGAGTGATTCCCATTGTGTGTGATTAATATTTGTTATGACCCCTGGAAAGCCCCCCCCCCCCAGTTTTGTCTCCTTCCTAAGTGTTCTTATGTGAAGCAGCCAGCACATAGGTTGGTCTGCTATTTTCACTGACTCTATCTCTGACCACTCAACTACATCTTACTACAACCTGCACCTATTTACTTATCTTTGAAAACAGGATTTTGCTTGCTGTGGAGTTCAGCTGGCTTTACATTAGCAATCCTCCAGCTTCAACTTCCAGAGTGTTTTGATTACAGGCATGTGTTAGTGTGCCTAGCTAACCTATACCTGTTTCTGAGAGTGCTTGAAAGTCTCCATTTTATATTAAAAATGCAGAGACTGGAAGCTACTTATTTAACCTATTCTATCACCCAGACCAGAGTTCTGCTGCTCTTTCTGAGTCATGCCAGGTCCAGCAAGTGGACCCCAGATCTTCAACTCCTTTTCTGTATACCCTCTCTGCCTTTCAAGCCAGAACAAGAGCATTAAGTTCTCCAGTGTTCTCAGTGAAAGGGCATAAAAGGCAGAGCCTTCACTCCACAAATAAGGACTAGGTAGGAGAGGGTGCACCTACCCTTCAGCTGCCCCACAGTATTCCACCTCCAGGGGCAGGGCAGGAGTAAAGTTCCAAAGTAAAGTCTGAAGTACCACTCCTCCCCACAGTTCTCAGAACTGTTCCTGCTATCGCAGTCTAGAATGTGTTGGTAGGGGGAGGGGCAGTCTTAGTTAAAGTACTCTATACTTGAACATTTTCTTATCAGTTTTAGTAACTTAACTTGAATAGGTATTTCTAAATTTCCTATAAAACCTCATACTCATTTCCAGAGGCTTTAAATATAGGTCTTCATTTTTCTACACAATTTCAATGATCTGTGGGTTCCTTATGCTCCCATAATAGATATTAAGTTTACTCATTCTTACTGAAGAGAATTCCTGGGGTGAACATACCCTGCTTTATCCAATCTCCTACCAGTGGACATGTGCGCAGTTTCCAGCTTTTCTAACCCAGCACTGCTGCTATAAACACTCTTTTGCATATACCCATGGCACACCAGCAAGTATTCCTATTGGACATAGAGTATGTGTACCTAGGAGTGCGAATGTTAGTAAAAAAAAATTCTGTAATGTTTAATTTTTGCAAGGCAGTTACAAGTTGTTTCCCATTTCCATTTCCATTTCCAACCAAGAGTGTATAAAAGTCCTCAGAGCTTTCCACCTCTGAGCTACAGCCTCCTCAACCTTTGTTGTGAGACTTGTCAACATAATAGGTGTAAAATTTACCAGTTACAAACAAGGGAAGAATTTATGTTCATTTTCTTGCCCCTCTTCTATGAATATCTACTTCCTCTACATCTTAATAGCTGTACTGAGGCAGGAGGGGCGAGAAAACGATCGAGAGAGAAGAGCACTCAGTCTTGTGGCCATTCTAGGGATGGGAGCTAGGGCCTCACGCATCCTAGGTGAGCATCCTCAGCCCTTTAGAAGGGTCTTCAGTCAGATCTAAGGAGTCTTTTATTAGATTGACACGTATGTAGAGAACCTCACAAGAAAGTGGAGCCTGAAGAAACAACCAAAGCAAGAAGCTTTGATATTTAGACAAGAATCAATTTAGGAAGGACAGACAGGACAAATGGATCTCTGGACTAAGGTAAATCCTAGGAACATCATTAAGAGATATGGGGGTGGGGGAGGGTAGAAGCTAATGGAAGCTAAAGGTTACTTCAAAGAACTTGTTAATTGGGGCTGTGATGAATTACTGCAGTCACCAGTCTGGTGATCAAGGCTGTTTTTCTGGCTGTGCTTTGTGAAGGATGTCCCTCTCAAAAGGATCTTTATGGCTTGCTGCATGTAGGAAAAGACAGGTCAAATGGCCTTTCTGTAGTGACAGCTTCTCCAGTGATGTCACTCTGAAGTAATTACCATGTCACTTGGCATACCCATGTGCATATTTGAAAATTGTAGCTCATATATAAATATTAACTCTTGTCTATTTGTGTGTTATAAGTAAATTCTGCCAGTTTTTACTATGTTGTTTTAATTTCTTTAGAGCAACTTTTGATGATGAATGAAGTTCTATTTTAATATGGCTGCACCTTGTTCTTTTGGTTAGTACTGTCTTGTTTAAGTACTGTCAGGGAGACACACAGACACACACACACACACACACACACACACACACACACACACACACACACACTGCTGAAAGGAGAAATGATGTACACGTTAATCCCATCCCTGGAGACTCACTCACATTAGTAATTGACAGATGGCCAAGCAGGGTGCAGCTGAGCAGAACAGTATCCTCAGTGAAATCTACTGACTCCCTCCCATAAGATATTCAACTTTTGTGAGCACAAACTCTGGCTATAACAGTCTAGAATGAGTTTCTGCAACATAGAAATGGGACTGGCAGGGAGGATAGGTCTTGGTTTTTAGATGTATTCATTTTATGTTATGTGTGAGTGCTCTGCCTGCAATGCATATATATCACTTGTGAGTTTGGTGCCTGTGGAGGTCAGAAGAGGGCAAGGATCCCCTGAAATAGAAATTACGGACAGTTGTGAGCCACCACGTGGGTGCTGGGAAACTGAACCTGCCTCTTCTAAAAGCACAACAAAAGCTCTTAACCACTGAGCCATTTCTTCAACCCTAAGTTCAGTACCTATGCTGAGCAGCTTACAACTACCTGTGATTCTCGATCCAAGAATCCGAGGCTTCTGGCCTTTGGGGAATCTGCACTCCAGTACACATCCCCACACTTAAAAATATTACTGTTGTATGTGTGTGCCTGTACATGCCATGGCACACATGTGGGGGTCAGGAGACAACTTTGTGGAGTTGGTTCTCCTTCTATACCGTGTGGCTTGGCTTCAAGGATTGAAGAATTGAGTGTTCCTCTTCAGGAGTTTTTAATCTCTCAAGTTGGTCCATACTCAGATTCTAGCAGCTAATGATTTATTCTTTAAATATCTCTGACATAATGTCCTGGTAGATTCCAGGTGCCCTCTGATCTGAGCAAGCCCAGACCAACACTCTGCATCTACCTGTCTCCAGTTTTTAGGTCAAGGTGCTTCATGACCTCAATTTTGCTGTGACCCTTGATGGACCTCAGTTGCTGATTTTATATTTTTCACCTTTTATTCATTTTCTGCTGTGAGAACAGGAGTGATAATGTCCAAGTTCTCTTCATGTCAGAGGTTAAACTATGTACGTACGTATGTATGTATGTATGTTGAGACAGGGTCTCAACTATGTCCTAGAACTTACTCTGTAGACCAGATCAGCCTTGAACTCACAGAGATCCACCTGCCTCTGCCTCCTGAGTGCTAGGATTAAAGGCGTGCACCACCACATTTGGCCCAAACTACTTTTTAAATCTTTGCTTAGCATCTTACTGTGCCAATGTGGTCAACATTTTTAAAGTTTTGACACATACTGCTAAATTTCCCTCCCTGGGGCTTTATTAAAATAATCTAAACACATTTTTATTACTTTACTTTCTAATTTCCAAACCTTCATTGTTCCCTCAAGATGCAGTCCACACAGTCCTGCCAAGTACACATTCCTTGGGTGGGTGAGCCCTCACTGAGACCTTTTGTACAATTTAGTCCTTCTTTGTTTTTCAACGTAATCTCCAAGAACTGCCCTAAGCTCTCTGTCTCCAGTGACTGGTGGACTTCCTGTCCCCAGGACTCTGGATCATGTCCACTCTGCCTTTGCCCTGCTTGGCCTTTCCCAGTGCAACTCATCCTGCTGTCCATAGCTTATATACAGAGAACCCAGCATTTGGTTTCATGTCATAGAAGCTTTGCAGCACAGGGGGCATACACAGCCCGGTGCAGTGAGAGGGGCTGGTTCAGGGGATACACCTCTGCCATCATGGGGTAACAGTGAGTCATTGTGTTTTGTTACTTTAATTTTTGGTTATTTTTTTCTTCAGGATTTTTTTTTTTTACTTATAGCATAATAACTCTTAAGTGGCTTTCCTTAATAATTAATCTAGTTTATTTCTGCCCCTCATTTTAAAACTTCAATTCCACCAAAAACTAATATCCAGTCAAATTATTAAATAATCTTTTTAGTTGCATCTTAAAAACTCACTTTCTTTTTCATTTAGAAAAACATATAAAACAATTACTTCTAAGACAGAAAATATGAAAGTTTACAATTGTCACATCATAACAATAAAATGGAAATACAAGGAATGGTGATAATTTAGATGCTAAAAAGCTTTCACCAATTTTGTTTAAGCTTAAAAAAAGAAAAGCACTCACGCTCCACTTGCTCAAACATTACTGAAAAGAGGAAGTCCCGGGGTGTCATGTAATATTCCCCCTCATGCTCCAGGGATGAAAACTGCATGAACCGCTGTTTACGCAGAGAAAGTTTCTCCATTGGCTCCAAGTCATTTTTCTACAAGAAAAAGAAATAATAATTAAGATTTTTTTTTCAGTATGATTTGTAAACTCAGCTACCTTTAGAATTACCTTTAAAGACTAAGTTAGGTCTCAGAGTGTCCAGAGTTCACCATTAATCATGTAACAAATATCAACTAAGTCTCTATGTTTTCAGGCACTGAAGTTAAAATAGCCATTAAGACTAATTGGAGGGAGAATGACATTCTCAAATGTGTAAAGTCACTGAGATGGCGGGAAGTGACACAGAGCACAAATGGGAGGCAGTGGCAGGTCTCTGAGGTAAGACAAGGCAGTCTTTTGAAGCCATGGCACTTACAGAGGCCACATAAAGGCTGATAGTGAGTGTTACCACGAGGTGCTCTGCTCATACAAAGGACAGAGAGGATGCACATGGGCCAAACACTGCTGGTGTTGAAAACTCCTGGGTCTTAGGGCTGAGCCTTCCTAACAGTGCTGAAATACCCACAGCTTTCTGTTCCTCTCAAGGCATTCAGCCTCCAGCTCCCACATCATGGGCCGTGTGCTGGGCAGACTGTGTGGCACGCAGTTGACAATGGTGGAGTCGATGTGGAGCCTTGAGGTGAGATTGTGCTGCTCTCGCCCTGGACCGCTGTCACTGGACTAAGCTTCCTCCCAGCACACACCACCTACTTCTCAACTCACTACCAATCTCGGATGTACCCTGACTCACAGGTGATGAACAGTGACTGCTGATGCAAACCACAATGGAAGAAATGTGAATTCTGGCTGCTTACACCTCTTCACATTCAAGGCCACCAGAGGCTTCTTTTGGTTGGTGTGAATCCCTAATTAATTCTCTCCCCTGAAGTGGGCAACTTCAGGATTGCTGAGCATCTAGTTTTCCTCCTTCTGCATTCTATTCAGTGCCTACAGAGTACTAACAACATAAACAATGCACAGCAATGCTACAGTCTCTGTGCTTTCTGTTCTTTGCCCATAAACTGTGACTCTAAAAAGAACTCAAAAGTTAAGAGGGAACTCAGTATGTTGCACAAGCTCGGAAAGCACTACCCTGACCTATAACCCCAGCCCATGGGCAAGTTTTAATTACATGCATCAGACTCATCCTAGTGACCAGATAGGAATCATAGCAATACGTTCTGAATGTTATGAGGAAGTATGTATAGTAAAAACATCAGCATTTACATAGCGATAGACATAATTTTGTTTAACAAAAGAAAAAGCAATGGCAAGATGGACAAACGCTAATTTCTGAGGAAGTCCTATGTGCTTTGACAGAGAATTTATAAAATGTGTACAGCCAGAAAAGGGAGAGTGGGTTGGAGCAAAACCAGGAACCTACCAACATTTGCAAGCCCCAGGGATTAGAAAAGAAAGGGGCCAAACATGAGCATGTGTCGTCAAGGTAGGGAAGAATTTGAAACACATTATAACTAATGTTAACTTAAAGTCTATTAAGAAAATAGCAAAACTAATAATCAGAAATCCTGAAACACTATTGATGCTTTTCTAATTTCTGTATCAAACCTGTTAAAATATCTTTTTTTTTTTTTTGGTATTTCTTTTTTGTTTAAATTCTTTTCATACCTCAACCAATTATTCAGTTCAATCCTTCATTCAGCCCTCTGTCTACTGTCTCCTAAGCAGAGGGTGATCTACTGTTTGTCTGATCTGGTTTTCAGGCTGTCTTCTTCCTTATAGTAATTTTACTTTTTCTGGTCTTAACTAATAGGAAGTAAACATCTACCATTCTCTCACAGCAAGTTGTGTAAAAGATAGCATATTTCTTGTTTTCTAGAAGGTTTGCTCTAAAAGTTTTTCTACCTTGTGGTTATCATTTTTTAATTAAATACTTATTTAATTAAAAACAACGTGAATATGTGCATATGTGGTATGTGAGGTTGTTCACAGAGGCCAGAAGATGTTGTCAGATCCCCTGGAAACCAGGCAGCTGCTGAGATGCTGCTGCTGAGATGCTTGATGTGGGTGCTGCTGGGAATGAAGCTCCAGTCCTCTTCAAGAGCAACAAGTGCCCCTAAGCAGGATTATCATTGTCCATGTGCCTCTGTGAGCCTACACACACACAGAGAACCATAGTTCTCAAGAGCCAACCTTCCAGGAAGTGCTGTTTTATAGAGCAGGATGGTTGACTGGGCTGCTTGCATCCATTTACATGGCTAAATATACTTTCTAGTAAACGATAAGACAGAGGAAACAGGGACCTCCTTGCTAGTTAATTTCTGAGCCTGAAGTTTGCATAGAACTATAGATCATGTCCACACATATAATGTCCAAATGTGACCTACAACCATGACTCTGTCCTGCAGATGGTTGAAACCCTTCAATACTCTCTACCAATACCCTTCTAATTTAATTTGATACGGTAGCTTCCTGAATTCTTGTTACTCCCTAGTATAAACAAACCATTCTACTAGCCCAAGGGCTTTCAGTCCCCATTATCAGCCTCAATACTGTTTATCCCCACAAGTGGCACTCTCCACAGCCTCCCTCACTGAGGTTGAGTACTTTGCTACCACCAGTCAACAGTACCCTTTACTTCCTGTATGAAGTAAACAGTGGATGCTCCCAGCTCACACATCGCTACCAATCTTTTTATCATGGCTTTACCCTCTCTGAGTTAAACACTTAATTGAGCATCTACTAATTTCAGAAAAACACTAGGAGTCAGAATGCAAATGAACCAGGGGATAATTGTGTAGCAGAAAATGTCTGCAGCAGATAACTGAGTGAACAGGATGTACAAGGCAGGTGGGGAGCATCTTTAGAAGCATGTTCTCCCTCATCCTCAAAATAACCAGTTGTAACCAAAGTGTTTTTTAATCACCCATTTTATAAAAGAAGGGATGCAGCCTTGTTAAGGTCAGTCGGCTTCCCTAGATTAACACAGTAGGTAACTGATGCCCAGGCCATATGGAACCAACCTCAAACTCCAACAAGTTCCCATAGTAGCTCCTGTGAGAGCTACTGGTATAATAAGATTTCACAGAAGCGGAAGATATAAGCTAGAGTGTAGAAACTAACAAAGAAAAGGACTAGAACTAGCCATTTTTTAAGTTCCAGGCTAAATGTTGCCCATTTCAACTAGTATGCATTACTTCCCTGGTTATATTAAATTTGAGTACACTGTCCTGAATTGTTTTGCTTGCTATTATATAATTTAAATGGGGGTGGACTTTATGAAATTATAACTTTCCAAATTAATGTACCAACACAGTTTTGTTTGGGTTATTACCCATCAGCAGTCAAAATTTCAAAGTAAAATTTGAAGGCTCACAAGTGCAGCTAGCATACATTGTACATTTATGGTTATTTTATATAATTTGGATTGCCTTGCCAATGCCATTTTTTCTGCTTTAGACTGTTAGGCTTTATCTTCCTTTACTTTACATTCATAACTATTTTGATCAAATCTCAAACCTAGTCAATGGTCAATGGTCAATAAAGCCAACACTCAACCATGACATTACTAAGAGAAAGATGCTTTACTGTGTAATTTTCTAAGGATGTGCACACCCAGATTCTTTGTGCTTAGTTTTCAAGTAGACCGCCAGGCCTGGAAGTGATGCTCCAGCTTGTCTCATATGCTAATGCACAGCAGCACACTGAGCAGTTGCTTTCTGTACAACAGAAGTATAGCAGTTATTTACAACCCATGATTCTTAAAGAGAATTTTAATTTATTTTTATTTTAGGTGACTGGTGTTTTGTCCACATGTATGTCTGTGTAAGGCTGCTGGATCCTCTATAACTGTAGTTACAAACAGTTGTGAGCTGCCATATGGGTGCTAGGAATTGAACCCTGTTCCTCTAGAAGAGCAGTCAGGGTTTTCAACAGCTGAGCCATCCAGCCCCCAGATTTCTTTATACATTTTTAAAAACTTGTTCTTTCAGTTTCATACATGCATATTATGGTTACTTCCACCTCACCAAACCCTCTCCTCCCCACAAGCCTCCTTTTCTCAGATTCAGTTCTTTCTCTTCCTTCCTTTCCTTCTTCTCTCTTTCTTATCCTTCCTTCCTTCCTTTCTTGTCTTGCTATAAACTGAGTTTAACCGGGGCCATCTGTGTGACCAGGGGTTTCAAATTATCCATTTTAGCCTGGTGGGGCTCACCTGTGGGCACACAATTGAAGACAATGCCTGCCTTTCCCCAGAATTTGCTAGTAGCCAAAAGTTCAGCTGTGTGAACCTTCTCCACCCATGACTGACTGATGACATCAGGCTCAGCCTGCTGGTTTTAAAAAATTTTATATTATTATTTTCGAGACACAGTTTCTCTCTGAAGTCCTGACTGTCCTGGAACTTACTCTATAGACCAGGCTGGCCTTGAACTCAGAGATCCATGTGCCTCTGCCTCTGAGTGCTGTAATTAAGGGCGTGTGCCACCATCACCTGACTTAATCTCTGCAGTTATGAAATCATATTTGCAATAGCTGTATCAGGCTCAGATTTTGCAGCCCTTCTTATGTTTTTTGGAAACATCTCTCTTGTTCTCTGGGCTGTGGAAGTGATGGTACAGATGCTCTGTTAAAGATGGAAAGCTGAGTCATCACTTCTTCAATGGACCTTGTGCAGCCATGAGTCTCTGCATTTACCACATTCCTTGGCAAAAGAGAAGCTTCTCTGATTAAGGTTGGGTGTAGTATTCATCTATGGACTTAAATAAAATATTATAAGGCAGTTTTATGTATTCCAATTTATATAAGCAATTGTAGCTAAAAGTTCTACAGGAACTTATAGCCATACGATTTTGACTGCATTACAGTACCAGGAATAAGGTCTCCCTTGTGAAGCAGGCCTCAGATCCAGGCAGAAAACAAATGGTTACCACTGTAATGTGTGTGCCATTGTTAATACTGTGGGTTTGTATTGCCTTGCAAGCTAGTAGCTTGTAGGGTTCACAGGCCATTGATGGGTGCCTTTTCACCCCCATGCATAGCTCCTTCTGGCAACGTGAAAGCTTGCCAGCAGGGAAGAAGTTTCTGGCTCACTTC